CTAATTTGACACAAACCTCTGCAGGATTCAGTATGTGAAAATGTGATTAATTTACAGGCACTGTGAAGGAAAGCAGTTATGATTATCGGTCAGGAAAGAAGAGGCATATATAGCACATCTCAAAATTTGGCATGTAGGGAAAACAACCTAACCTTGGGAATAAGGAGCAGGATTGAGGCAAGTAACTGCTGTAGATCTTAGTGTCACTTCTGAGAGTGAAAGTAATTACTAGTTTGTGTTGACAGATGAAAATAAAAGGCTAATGTAAGTGGACAAAGTACATTCCATCACTGTTATGCTACCAAATTGACTCATATGCCTGGGATTCATGTCACTCTATTTATTTGATTTGACTCAAAATTCACAAGGAGCACCACTGACCCCTTCTTTCTTAAAAAGAAAAAAGAGGAATCTGTACAGATTCTATATGTTCTATATTAAACCTATATATTCTATAGGTTAATCTAGGACAATGCCTTGTTTTACTATAAGGAACATGTTTAGTATCTGAAGACAGTTCCCAATACAATATCTTTTCTTATTTCTACTATTCTTGAACTGTGATTCATGCAATGAACACATGATAATGAAGCAAGAATGACCCAGCAGGACCACCAATACAAACATATTTGTTGGCTATACATTCGTGTAAAAAGAAAAGAAGTTCACTTTCAGAGGAATGCTGAATGTGACTTGTGGAGATATGGCCAGAAAATGTGTGGTCAGCAGGCATAAGTCCTGTCTCATCTCATGCTTTCAGAGTAAACTTTCATTGGTTTCCCCAACAGAGTGAGTCTCTGACCAGTGTTTTTTATTGTTATTATTATTACTGTCTTTCCTGGAAAGAAAGTTATGGGGGGAAATGTGTAGGTAGCCTTCTAAGTGAAATGAGCAAGACCGTCTGCTTCCTGACAATGTTTTTAGCCAATGATGAAGTCAGAAGCTGTTAAGGATGAATGAGTTGTTTGGGCACCAGGCAAAATGAATCTGCTGAGTCCCAAAGAGTCTGCAATCTGCTCTTCCTTTCTGTAACCAGAATGTATATTTCCTGTGGCAGGTTCACCTGAGATCAGGTAGTCTCCAGAAGTCATTTTCTGCAAATGCCACCACACATTAAATATGAGCATATCCTAAAGAATCCCACCTCCCTGAAAAAGGCAAATGAGAAAACTTTGCAAAGAGGCTTAGTCATGCATTAAGAATTCTCTATATAGTTAACCTACAGTATCATTGTAAACATGTCTACTCCCAGATTATTGGATACAGGATGGCAGTTAGACTTTGCTTTAGGCTTGGCATTGGGTGGGAGGAGGTTATCATACCTTTTAGAGATGTATACCAGACAGAAATTCAATGTTGAGACTTTTGTAGGATGGAAAAAGCTTCACTGTGACTTTATTCTCTCTCTCTCACTCACTTTTTGTTATGTCATGCTTCTTGTGGCAACCATTTTATGACCAGCACCCACAGCAATCTCTTGAAATTCAAAATGTGCCCACTGGCCCAAAAAGATTGGTGACCCCTGGGATAGACCCATTGAAATTAATGGCCATAAATTATTCTATTAATTTCATTGCATCTACTTTGAGTTGGATTAACACTGGCAACAATCTATTAAGAGACACTATGCCACTGAATTCTATTCCCTGCAGACTAACAACAGGAAAGGGTTATTTAGGCTTGCCATATGTCAGGAAAATTCCTGACATGCCTTGGTTCTTGGGTGTAGAAATGACGTCAGGGGAAAATTTTGTCGAATGGGCAAAATGTGGGGGGAAACCCAGATGTATGGCAACGCAATGGAAAAAGTAGCGGAAACAGCTCCAAAATCTTAAAATCACTATTTTTGAGGGAAGTCCCCCCCTCTCCCAAATTGGTTGTTCCCAAAATGTTCTAAAAAACAAAACAAAAAAACTCAAGAGTTTTGGTGGTTTCCTAAAAAAAAAAGCCCAACAACTTTGTGGGTGTCAGGAATCTTACTTTTTGAAATATGGCACCCCTAGGGTTACTGCCTGCTTCTGGATTTCCTGGAGGCATCTGGTTAACCACAGGGGGAAACAAGAGGCATGGTAATATGAGCCCTTGGTCTGATCCAGCTGTGCTCTGCTTATGCGTATTATGTAAAGGAGTTTCAGAAGCCATGTACGCTAGTATTTGCATGTTTTACTAATCTCAGTCACTTGCTGCCATAAACGTTGTGATAACTTGCAGTGCCAGTGTTCTTTCAGCTTGAGTGCATTTTGATAACCCTGTCAAGAACTCTGATTTAACAAGCCTATCAAATCTCATTAAAATCCTTGTTGTGCCCAGTTTATATGCCAATAATGTGTCTATGGATCATATTTGCAATGGCCCATTAACTATGCTTCTGATTCAGTATGTCATATGTACTGTAGTTAATCTGTGCTTATTCCTTTCTTCTGCTGCTGTTCTAATTAGGGGATAAAATACATTTGTAGCCATCTAAATTTGGTAACTTCAGGTTTTTAGAGAGATGCCCCAAATTTCATGGGCTTCACCACTAAAGGCAAAGTAATACCCAACAAATATACGCTAATCACATATGCAAATCGATAGGATGTACACACAGTTTAAAATTGGTTAGACCTTGTGTGACCTTGACTGTTGCTACATCTTAGTTAATGTTATATCTAGTGGTCTGATTTTAGGGTCCAAATACTCCTGGAAAATTTATTGCTTTCCCAACCTTTTCAATATCAGGCATGCATGCAGTTATATTTTATTGAGAAAAACCTGGAGGTAGGAATCATAATCATGGACTAAGAGCCAATACAGGAAAGAAATCAGAGACAGGATTATTGGGAGGGATTGCTACCCTTCAAACAGGCCCTGACCCTTTAAATAGAAACAGAAAAATGAGCAGGTAACAGTTTTCCAGACCTGGAGATGTGGTGTAGTTTTTGCTCCTAAATTCATGAAAGCAAGGCTGGTCAAAACTAGAGCAGCCTCCATTTGAAAGACTGGAGGAAGTCTGGTTTAAATGTAAAGAATCATAAGAAGGGAGAGGAAGACACTTAAAATTGCCCATGACAGTGAACACTTGGATATCAGACTGAGCATGCACATAGATCATGGTCTTGACCAGTAAAGTGAGTTGTATTTCTATTCAGTACGTTCGATAACAGTGATTTTTGTAAATGTGCAACTATGTATATGAATTGACACATGCACCCTTATTTTTTTGATGATGTGTTAAGTGGCCACCCTAATCAAAACAGTGGCAAAACATTAGGTTCCGCTGATATGAGCAGTGAGATGCAAGCATTATGTTGAAGGATGAGGAATAGCAGATATAAATGAGAAAGCCTTCTGGATTTTCTCATCTCAAGACCTCTCTCATTTATAAAGTGAAGACAGGGTTCTGAGGACATGAAATTTCCTTTGGGTCAAGGTTTCAGACCAAGCTAGACTCATATTTGCTAGGATCCTACCTGTCTCTGTAAGAGAACTTCTTTGCTGTGTATGCCCACAGCCTGGAGGACAACTCATTTAATTTATTTTTTGTCAGTTATGCTTAGCTACGTTATTCATATTACTGTATTTCACATCATAGGATATCATGGGCCAAAGAAGCATGACATAAAAGATCATCTGTTCTTTTCTTTTTTAAAAATAATTTTTATTAAATTTCCATTTAACAAACCAATCATATCACATTAGTTATTCCAAATTATACCAATACATATCATAAACTCCAAATATTTTGCCGAATTTTAAATTTTTGTTGGGGGTACCCATGCTTCGAGTTCAGTAAGATCATCTGTTCTAGGATCTTTTCTGATATCAACATCCTGCTGGCTGGTCGGTAATTACCTGGGTCTTCTTTTCCACCCTTTTTGAAAAAGGGATCAATATTATTATTATTATTATTATTATTTATTAAATTTGTATACCACCCTTCATCCATAGATTTTAGAGCAGTTCACAGCATAAAAATACAAGATAAATACACAAAATTCATAATAAAAACAAGAACAAAAGCAAAATAAAACAATAACCCATCGCCTCCCACAAACACATTTAAAACAGTCTAAGATGTTAATCAGCCCAAGGCCTGGTTGAAAAGGAACATTTCTCCTGCTGCCTAAAGGTATATAATGAAGGTGCCAGCCAAATTTCCCTGGGCAGAGTATTCCACAAATGGGAAAACAACAGCATGTGCCACTTCTTTACAATTAGGCCTGATCCCTGGGCATGTGGGTAGGTGGGCTGGCTGCCATCATGCTAAGGTTTCTGAATGTCAGAAAGACTGGAATCTTATTCAGAAGACAAGGGAGAATCTCACAGTTTTACATGCCAAGAATCTCTAAATCTCTGACAAAAAATTCTAGACAGAATACAGATCACAACCATCTCTGCTTGTCATGACAAATGTTTTGCTGCTGCAGCTGTGAGGAGATTAATCATCCAAATGCTATAGAAAATGCACACTTAAAAATATCTGTCCTGGCCCCAGAAATTAATAAATAACATTATTATTTTAATCTTCCAGCAGATGGAGCTCTCTATATTAAGTACTGTATATACACTTATACGTACATATCTGTTTATAAAACAAAAACTAGCATCCTCCCCCTGGAAGATTTGATGAGGGAGAGAGATGGTTCAGAATACAATATCTAAATGCTAAATACTCTGTTTCATACAGACTCCCCACTGCTGCATTGCAAAGCACTGATTTGTGACTTTGATGGGTTATAGCATGCTCATTTATTACTTATATTTTGCCTCTCTCTTTTTGCCCTACGTATCTTTGAATGTATCTATTTTATTTCATTCTTCCCTCAGCATTGGAGTTACTGGTTGGAAATCATTATATCTGTGGAAAAATAATGATGGTGTTGTGAAATTATGGGTCAGAAGATTGTGGCGATGGGACCAAACTATTCAATCCTCTGGGATAGAACAGCTACCTGAGATCATTTTAATAGTTTGTAATACTTGATTTGACTTACCTCAGGCCAATGGTTATATCTTACCTCCATCATCCCTGATGTGTATTAGTCTAGTATGACTGAAGTCCAGGCTCAAAAGAGCCCATGCAGGACCAAGGACTATGCAACAGGAACAGTCTACTTCATGTACAGTAGAAGCAATAGTTATTTCTTGTTTCCCAAAGAAATGAGAGAGAGAGAGAGAGAGAGAGAGAGAGAGAGAGAGAGAGAGAGATGTAATGAATAGCTATAACCCTTCTTTTCCTGAGTGAAATGCATTTGTCAAATTGCAGATAATTGTCTCAAATATAGCAACAAGTTGGTTCTTGTGGATCTGTGAGAAAGAGGAGGAAAATAGAAACCTATTGTACATCATAGTTAGCTAGCTATTGCCCGGAAAACAGTTTTGAAATATAGCCAGGCTCTGTGTGCAATAACAAACTAGTCAATGGCTTTAATAGGGGACTTGGAAGTGGAAGGACAGCTGACACATGTAGTTTGCAAATGTCAGATTAATGGACCCTAAAATTACTAGCACCCTGGGCAAGAAGTGCCTTTGACACCCCACATGATAATTTCTGGAGCATTATCAAGTTTTGTGAATGATGCCAGACTGCCATGGCAAGCAATGGACTAGGCCTTACTATTCCCTGGCATTCCTAGTAATGTCAATGAATAGGGCCCAGCTCTACCTCTCAATTTTGCCTTAGCTTACTGAGGACATTTTACACGCAAGAAAGACTGAGCTCAGTTTGGTGCAAATTCAAATCAGCACCCAGTTCACCCACTCCTAAGATCACCACCACTGCAATAGTGCCAGCAGGATGACAGTTATATATGACACACATAATACATATTAAACAGACCTGGGTTATACACAAAGGTGAACCAGATCTATGCAACATTAAGTGAAAAGTAAAATATTGCTGGTCTGTGTAGACACATTCCCATCTCCAGCTGTTTCCTCTATGTAGCCCTGAATAAACCAGTTCTGAAGCTCATGTGGTGCTAATCATCAGTAACCCTTTGCTCCACAGTTGCAATGAAGTCCCACATATCCCTTAGGGTACACCAGGAGCAGTGATTTCTCCCAGAAACACATCCTACCATATTTTGGCTTAGTTTTTATTAAATTGTGCTAAATGATTGAAGCAGCACTTAATATTTCACTTTTGTAATCAAGTTGCATAACATTCATATTTTGTTCCACAGATTGTGCATAAATCAACGGAAGAATCAGCTAATATTTTGCTGATCATGTTTCTAAAATATTTGCATATTTTAATAATCAGGGAGCCTAATCAACTTTTGTTCTACATGTTTCATTAATAATAACCCACCCCAATCTCTTTTCACCTTCTTAAAAATTCACTTCCTTTTCCTGATGAAAGCTACCAGGCACATGTTAGTGATAGAATTTTTCCAGGACTTTGTTTTTTAAAAGCTGTCAATGATAGAATTCACATTCAGCAGGAAATGACATGTTTGAACTAGGACCTGAGACTTCTGAGCCAGTCATTCTGTGTGCATGAGGATCTCACTTTTGCACCATGTCATTGTGAACTGCTGTTCAAAGAATGGTCCTGCATCTTATTGCATAGGTTCTCTAGCTCATGTGTGTCTTGTGTTTAGCTGTACAGCCATACCTGCTGTCTACTTGCAGCAGTGTGGCAACAGGTGATCCACTTACAGATGGGTGGTGTGGTGGAGGAGTACATCCATTTCTGTTTCCCATTTTTCTAGTCTTAAAATTCAGTTATCCACATTTCCACATGTTGTGTAGGATAAGGGGGATGAAGCTGTTGGAGGATAAAGCTATTGATGGCAACTAGTCATTATGGCTATGCTGTGCATACAGTCAGAGGCAGTAATACCAGTTGCTTGAATCCTGCTTGTGGGTTTCCTACAGGCGTCTGGGTGGACACTATGACAACAATATGTTGGAACAAATGGGCCATTGGCCTGATCCAGATTACATTCTTAATGTCAGATTGAGAGTGCATTCGATGTTTTGCATCCCCATATACATCACACCTGTACAGATAATTCCAAGTCTAGAAAAGGAATCTTTGGAAAGAAAACCCAGCATCCTTCTGCTATCCTTTTTTAAATGAAACAAACATTCAATAACTCCACAATTGGTTTTTTAAAAAATAAATATTATAGAAACTATTTAATTCTGCTAAGGAAAATCTCCGAATAAATTTGTTATTTTCCAGATGCTCAGAGAATGCATCTATAAAGTCAAGTTACACAGCCTGCCAATTTACTTGGCTAAACAAAATATCAAGTACAGTACAAAATGTAAATGTAAAAAAAGAAAAGTGCACAGTTTAAGCCCATTCAATTAGTAAGGCGCATGGTAGACTAGCGGTGTATGGATAAAACAGCTAATATATTTATATTGCAAATTAGTGGGGGAATGATGTGAACTGATGTGTAAAATATTGCACAATTTATACTCTCTTCCATTAATATTATGATCATTAGAGATGGTTTGGGAATACCCACCTGCCCACCATTATTGTTTGACAGATCTTCTATGGCTATATTTTAATGAATACAACCTTTTCACCATTACTCTTTCTCTCATGTCTTTTAGAGTGTGTTAGATATCATTAGTATGATGTTATAACTAATCACACATTACTATATACATGTTCTCAGATAGTATATATAATCACGTTTGAAGTTGGGGTGTGCAGAAAGAGGTCAGGAATGGCAGAGGGCGTGTTCTTGTTGGAGATTCATTCCCTGTGTCTGCAGTCATGAGAGTGTTGTCTATCACATGACGGTGTATGTTTTCATTCCACAGTGTGGGAAGTAATGGAGAAAGGATGTTTTGATATTACTGTGTTCTGTGAAGTGGGACTATTGTCCTTTGTTCTTTCTCTCTTTGCTGTCTGATGAGAAAGAGGAAGGAGCTAAAGCAGAATGCTCCAAGTGTATTATATGTAAATAAACATGGATTAGCCAAAATGCTGTGTTACTGAGTTCTGTTACTCAAACTGTGAATACTCTGCGGATCCCTAAGTGTGCTGATGTCTCCAAGGCATCAGTCGCTGTGATGTTTAGGTTGGGGGAAGCTTTTGAAGCTCCCAAACGATCAACCAGGAGTGAGAGAACATACCAGTCGGGCATGTGTCTCTACCAGGGTCCTACATGAGAGTAGGATGCTCCTACCTTTTTTTCTTTTAAATACTTTTTTTGTTCAAGGTGATGTCAGGCTTCCTTCCCAGTGGCTTTCCCAGTGGCAACTCCACTCCCACAAATCACAGTGAGGCCACCAACCTGGATGTCTTTAAAAGAGGGTTAGACAGAGGTTAAGGCTATCAATCATAACTCACCACAATGCTTATGTTAGGTGTCCCAAACTTGGGGCACCAGCTGTTTTTGGACTACAACTTCCATCATCGATAGCTATCAGGACCGCTAGCTATCAGGTCAGGGATGATGTTCTACCTCCACTGTTGGAGACAGTATGCCTCTGAATACCTATTGCTTGGACTTGCAGGTAGGAAGAGTAGTATTGCACTCACATCCTGGTTGCAGGCTTCCCATAGGCACCTGATTGGCCACTGTGAGAACAGGATGCTGGACTAGATTGGACTCTGGTTTGATCTAGCAGCTCTCTTCTTAAGTTATGCTTTGATTTTCAGTTAACAGACATAGCACGAATTCTCTCAAGTAAGCTCTGTATACTGAATTACATAAGAAGAACACGTGGAGTTTCTCTCCACTCTCCATTTCCCCCACCGTCATCTCCAGAGTAGCCTAACACTTAGGAAGCTTGCACCTCTGCTTCAAGGGCTAGAGCAGAAACAGCCAGCAGGATACCTGGAGTGTGTTACAATATAATCTCTTTACCCTCCACTCAGCTTCAGCAACAGAAGGAACATTAGTTACACTGTCTTCACTCCATGCCTCTTCCTTTAAAATAGCTTCAGGCAAAGAAGCAGCTGAGGTGCCGAAGGAGTGGATGAACCCATCAGTGGCTCCAGCTGCTGAATTGATAAACAAACATTATTAACTGTTTGCAAGCTTGACAGTACCTCTTCCTACAGCAAGTCATGTTTGGGGAAAAGATGGGGCAAGAATTGCCTCTGCACATTTTGCTGTCTACAGCAATATTTCAAAAGAAGTCGGAGTTCAGTCTGGAAAGCTAAAGGTAGCATTCCTGCCTGAGATATGAAAAGTCCAAATCATGCTGCTCATGGTGATGAGCTACTTGAATTCACATAGAATCTGCTTAATGCAGTTCAGGTATGTTTTTGAAGGACTGAAATATATGGAAATATATTTGTATATTGCACTTTGTACTTGCAGGAAGAAAATCACAGCAAGTGTCCCCCCCATGCTAAAATAACAGCTCTATATTTTTTTTAAAGATTTGAATGAATATATAATATCAGATTGATACTCAAAACTTCAAAAGTTTTGTTGATCAGTTATGCTTTTCACATAAATTACATTTATAATGTCCCACTAAGATTGAATGCAATTTTATTGTTGCATAGGGCATTGTGAATAACTTATACATAAAACTGGTATTTTTAAAAAAATGAGTTGCTTTTTTTTAGTTTTAAGGTATTTATTTTTCCACTGTAGATGTTTAGCTAAAACATTTGGCTTATATTTTGTAGTGTTGGGCAAGCTTCCCCTGGATTTGTTTCATAATTGGATCAGGCTTTTTCAAAGAAAGGCAGGGCTTTTGAACTGAAGAAGAACTCACAGCCTTCTAAAGCAGTATGTTGGACTGTCAAACAACTCATTCAGGAAGTTCTTGCTAATCTTTAGTCTAAATCTCTTTTCTTGTAATTTCAGCCCCACTGGTTTGGGTATGACACTCTGCAGGAACTGAAAACAAATTTTGTTCACCATTGATATGACAGTTCTTCAGATATTTGAAGGTGGCTATCCTGTGTAGCCACTTAATTGTCTCTTCTCAGGCTCAGCATAATCCCCTCAACCTTTCCTTACAGGACTTGGTCTCTAGGTCCCTTGCCAATTTGACTCTTCTCTTCTGGACTTGTCCAAGTTGGCTGATATCCTTCTTAAGCTGTAGGGGGGAACTAGAACTGCATTAGCCTTTTTTAGCCAACACATCAATATGTGAACTCAGGATTATCTGAATTGGGAAAGTCTGTTCTCGGTGCTCTTGTGCTCATCAAGATTCAGAACTTCAGTTCATCACTACTTAATTTGAATCAAATATATGAATGCCTGTTGTTTTTGTCCATGGAGTTTTCTTGGCATGGATACTGGAGTGGCTTGCCGGTTCCTGCTCCAGGTGGATCACGTTTAGTCAAAACTCTCTACTATGATCTCTCCGTCTTGAGTGGCCCTGCATGGCATAGCTCACAGCTTCTCTAAGAAGGCTGATCGCCGAAGGATTGATGCTTTTGAATTATGGTGCTTGAGAAGACTCTTGAGAGTCCCATGGACTGCAAAAAGATCAAACCTATCCATTCCGAAGGAAATCAGCCCTGAATGCTCACTGGAAGGACAGATCCTGAAGCTGAGGCTCCAATACTTTGGCCACCTCATGAGAAGAGAAGACTCCCTGGAAAAGACCCTGATGTTGGGAAAGATGGAGGGCACAAGGAGAAGGGGACGACAGAGGATGAGATGGTTGGACAGTGTTCTCGAGGCTACGAACATGAGTCTGACCAGGCTGCGATAAGCAGTGGAAGACAGGAGTGCCTGGTGTGCTCTGGTCCATGGGGTCACGAAGAGTCAGACATGACTAAACAACTAAACAACAGCAACAACATATGAATACTGTCCTAATTTAATGACTTACATCCTTTCCATCTTCTAAGTTCTGTGTTAGTAATCAGGCTCTCTGTCACCAGACAGTAGGCTGGTGTAACTTTTTATCCCAGATGAACAGATCTTCCAACTCCATCACTCCCACTTTCCCCTACTTTCTCTATATATGCATGTCTGCCCAAGTAAGTCC